CCCCCCCCCCCCCCCCGAAAGCATCATGAGCCCCGTACGGCTATGCATGTGTGTAAGCGAAGTTGAACTTTACAGATACTTCGTCTTGGCAAATCCACCTGCCAGTCACGTTTATGTCAGTGACAGTGGTTGTAATTGTATCTAATACGTAACCATTAATAATACTTTCACTTTTGTACGTAGCATTATTTGTCTCTTGTGGTGCGAAAGCAACATCGCTTAAATCGGTTTTTGTTAAAAACATCGGTTTATGGTTCATCGATTGACCGCCTCAGCCGAGATCGTATATAGGCCTTAGAGTTAGCCGTAAACACAACCATAGAAGACCAACTATCCAGGCAAACTACTCAGAATAGCGCGATCTATACTGGCAAGGATAATCTATATTAACGAACTGTGCCATTTTTGTTTGGAAGACACTGGGAACGAAGTCGATTTTGGTTTTGTTAAGAAAACTTGGTGATTACCATGGTCGGATTTTGAGGGAAGGTGCGCACTCAAGGCATTTGCTCGTTACTCAAGGCATTTGCAATTCCTGAGCATCTTTACTGTAAAACATCTGTTTGTATAAACTATGCATGTAAACTATATTAACAAATATAGATAAGATTTTGCCGTTGTCTGTTCAGTTATAGATGATGCACATGTGGTATGGCGTCATAATGTGGGAAGCACAAATCAAAGGCCGTTGAGGCAGAATCACGGATAAGATCAAATGAAAGTGACGGAAAGAATTGGAGCAGTTTGCAGTTGTTTTTGCGAACTGGCACCGTGCGAATTTTGCCATTTGTCGTGCTCCTTTTGCAAAATCAAAAGAACGAACGCGTGCTCCAGCCCGATTTCCGGTTCTGAAAGGCCCGATCAGCATGAGCTCCACCTTTGAATTTACTATACGAATAAATTCCAGTAAATTCTTAAACACACTCTTAAAAATAAGTGTGTTATATAACATACTTATTTTGTCCAGAAATTAGCACGGGTTATATAACACACCAGTGTGTTAGATAACACACCCTAGGGTGTGTTTTTGGCTTGTCCAAAAATCAACACGCTTTACGTGTGTTATTGAAAAATGTGTGTTATTTAGCACACAACAGTGGGTTTAAAAACACACAACAGTGTGTTATTGTTAAGTGTGTTATC